CTAACCTTTTCACTCTCACCTTTTCACTCTCACCTTCTCACTCTCACCTTCTCACTCTCACCTTCTCACTCTCACACCTTCGACTCACATCACTACCCTCACCCCATCACTGTTTTGATCTCGCCCCGATCCCAACATCTCTGCCTTTCAATCGAATTCTTCGAATCCTCGTACACAACTCTCTTGGGTCTCTTCAAGACTTCCTGACAAATTCCATCAAACGCCGGGCAGCGAGAAATCGCTCCGCGCCCTGCATGGACCCGCCATCACCACCACAGTCTCGAGAAGAGGCGGATGCTCAGCTACAGACCATCGTACACGATCGAGGCATAGAAAATGGGCAAGCTAATAAATTCACGGAGAAACAACTACGAAACGCCCTCCAGGTTCTCGCAAAAAATCTGTATTGCACGTCAACCCATTTCATCTTGGAGCTTCTTCAAAATGCCGACGACAACGATTACTCCAAAGCGATTCAACGAGACTCACGCCCAAGTTTTAGGCTGAGCATCGAGAGCTGTATTGACAACAGCGGCGAAATTGTTCACTACTTGGAAACGGGATGCAACGAAAATGGCTTTTCTCTTGAGCAAATCGACGCTCTCTGCGCGATCGGAGAGAGCACAAAGAGCTTATCGAAAGAGGTCCATTCGGGATATATTGGAGAGAAGGGCATAGGCTTCAAGTCTGTTTTCAATGTCGCAAATGTAGTCTATGTCTCGAGTGGGCTCTACAGCTTCAAACTCGACAAGACAAGGGACATGCTGGGGGTTCTCCTGCCCCTCCCCGCGGTATTCATCAAACCTCAGCGCGAGTCTGAAAATACAAGCATGGCTCTTCAACTACTTGGCAATAGCGAGTTGGAAAGGATTGCCGTGGAGCTTACCAAGATCAAACCCGAAATACTGCTCTTTCTTCGCCGACTCAGACGCATCGTTGTCCAGACACCGGATGAGCAGGTTGACTACTTGGCTACATACACAGATCACGACACAGATTTCCACTGCGAAACGCGGACTATTACCATGCACACAAACAATTCGGAGCCAGCGACGGAAACTAAGTACGCCATTATCCGAAAGGCAGTGGAAGACATGCCAGAAGAATCTACAAGGAAAAACATCGGCGTCTCAGAGGTTACTCTTGCATTTCCGCTGGAGCAGGATGGTAGCCCAAAGGTTCAAAAGCAGCCAATCTTTGCATTCCTGCCAGTTGGCCACTATGGCTTCCAAGTAAGGACCAAAATCCCTCTGGTTTCTAGAAAACATCACTAATCGGACGCTTAGTTTCTCATTCAGAGCGACTTCATTCTACTCGCGGATCGGGAGCGCGTTCCCGCCGAAAACGCTTGGAACAACAAGATCAGAGAAGCAATTCCAATTGCATTCGAGGAGTCAGTCGAGAAATTCAACAAAGGTGGAGGTAAACTGCGTTACTCTTGGCCACGGTACTTGGTGCGATCTCCCTCTCACGATAACTTTTGGGACGGTCTGGAAGAATCCCTGATCAGACATCTTCAGTCTCGCCCAGTTCTCCAGAGTCGCGCGGGGATTGAGGATCTGCGAAAGCCGCAGGAACTCGTCTTCGTTTCTTCTGGATACTGCCTGGATGGAGTGCCTTTGATTGACTCACCGAAACAACGTCACCGCCATCTAGCATCCGAATACTCTCAAGAAGGAAATCTACCCAAAGGTTTCATGCGTCTGGGGGTAAGTACCATGGTTGCTGACGTGTTTGTGTCACATTTCTGTGAATGGGTTTCAGTAGAGAAACCCGACCTCACCACCAAGTCACAGAAATGGCACAGTAAAGTGGCTGCTATTCTCGTCCGCTCTGAGTCTTGGAAAGGGAGACTACGACGCTTGCCACTTGTGCCAACACTGGACGGGGATCTGCTTCCTGCGCGCACGGCAGACCTATACCTGGCGGCGAAGGCAGACATCCAAGGTGCTCCTCAAGGCCTTGGCCTCTTCTTCGTGCTCCCCGATGCGCGATCCGATGCCAAGAGAGACGTCCTCTTTGAATGGTTAGGGATCAAGAAGATCACATCGAACGATATTTGCAATCGAATTCTCCAAGACCATAACAAACGAAATCATGGTTGGGACCCCCGAGGAACCGAGCGTCTCATCGAAGACGCGTTCTACTTATTCCACAATCATCGTCCGCATTGGCTTCCAAAGATGAACCTCTGGGTTGCTACCTCCAACGGAAACGAGGTTTGCCGCGCCGATGCCGTCTACCTCATCGACCCAAAGATCCAACATAACCTCATTAGCAAGCACTCTTCTGAACCCAAGGCTTGCATGAACGTGCTGCATCCTGATTACGTCAGTCGAGGCGAGATCGCAGGTGAAGAACGCGCTGCCCAAAAAGGCGCCTTCATTGAGTGGTTGAAGAACAAACACGGAGTCGCAACATCGTTCAAGTTACTTGTCCGTGATCAGTCCTCTTCGGAAGTCGTCCTTAGTCGCGAAAGTCGATGGCTTCTCAAAAATGACTCCATGAGCTTCATACAACTCTTAAGAGACGAGTGGCTTCGAAACGGGCTGTTCTTCGAATACAGGGACTGCCTCTCAATTCTGCACCCACATGTCCAGGCCATGACAGTGCCTTGTCGAGACGGGGTCCAACGGAAACTCCAGGACACAGCGGTACCAACCAAAGCTCTGCTCCTCCACTGTCCACATCTTGCATTTGCAGATTTTCCTGACCCAGAGGACTTGATATGGCAGAAATTTGGAGCCTTTTCAGTCACTACTAAACCCAGTGTAGAGGCCTACGTCATGGAGCTCGAGATGATGAAAGGTTTGGCCATTGATGCGGATACTATGAAGGCTGCAAGTCACATCTATCTGTATCTGGCCAACAACAGCAAAGAGATCTCGGATGCTCAGCGGTAAGATTCTATTCAATTGATCCCGGGCGAGATAGCTAACCCGAGCAGTCAAGCCTTCGAGCACGCCAAGACGGTCTATCATCCAGTCCATGGTTGGCTCACCCCGAACGAATGCACTTGGAAGGCTCCTGCCTGCCTTGAGAATATCCGACCCCTTGCTGAGTTTTATCCTAAATGTGGGACTTTCTTTCAAGATATACTCCAAATCCCGGATGCCGGTATTCCTGACGTTATCAGAGAGTTGGGGCGTTTGGGAGGCCTATCAGCGGACACTTCAAAGGCACAGTCGATAAAGACAGTGCTCCTCTTCTTGTGCAAGTATCTCTCAAGTATGAAGGATCCTGCAAAAATGCCTCAGTGCTTCGAACCAAGAGCACTCCCATATTTCAAGGTTTTCCCCATGCTACCTACCACGCACAACTCAGGAGGTCCAGACGGCGCAACGTTCTTGTCTCTCAATGATAGCTGGTTCATTGCCGACCGCACGGCATTACGGACCGCGTTTGAGGGGAAAGTTTCCCTCCTGGACTTCGACGTCAAAGATATTGACAAGATCATGCCATTGGTAGCATGGCGTCACCTCTCTCCTCGACTCCTCAGCAATGCGGTAGAAGAGCATATCACTTACGTGAGCGCGCCGATAGCCCATCCACTTTGGTCCGAAAACATACAGAAGAAAGCAAAGTACATTGCGCTGTAAGTCACGTTCACCCAAACATTATTGCATCTCACTGACCTCGTATAGCCTCGGGACCAAAGCGACGCCGACGATTCCTACCTTCAAAGTTTCGCTAGCTTTGGGCATTTCAGTGCAAAGAGCAATCGGCGAGATAGTGGGCGAGTCTCGCAAAGGGCACATCTCTATCACGCAAGAGAAAGATGCCATTCATATCGTCGTCTTGCGGAACCCTTTCAAAGATACCAATCGACGGGTCGACATGGAGCTAGCTGACTTGTTTAGCCGGCTATTTGCAATCCAGGACGTCGAGCGCGGCCTTCTCATCTCACACATCCTCAAAGGCAGCTTTGCCGACGTGCGAGACATGTTGGAAGGAGTCAACATTCGTGTTCTCTTCGACGACGACCTCGACATCTCTACCAGCGTGTACAGCTCAATGACCAACTCGACGGAAGATCCCGCCGTCGCTTACAGAGAGCTGACCAGTGCAGTCGGGATGGGGGATGTTGCCAGGCAGTCAACTCCCACAATGTCCTACGCTCAGGCCTATGATAGAAGTTTTGGGAACGATGATTCAGACTATGATCCCCAATCCTACAGGTTCGAGGAAGTTGGATTTGCGGCAGAAGATTTTGTATGCGACGACTCTATGGCACAATGAAAACTCCGCTAACAAATTTGGTAGGTCAATTGCTACTTTTCCAAGGAAATACCCGACTGGGAGCCCGAGAAGCATTGGACAAGCCGTCTTCGGAAGAGATGTGGTTACTCGGACTTCCTTGGTGATGAGTCGGTCACAGCTGATTTCACGTACACAGACAGAGGAGGATACATGCTCCCGCTACTTCATAACGTGGGCATCGTCGAGGAGACCTGGTTTCGCCGAACCATCACGTATCACATGGAAGTGAAGGGAACGGTTCGCGGACTCGAGGAGCCTTTCCACCTGAGCCAGAAGCAGATGAATCTGGTGAGTTCTGCTTGCTCTCGTCATGGGGCCATCCTTCCTGGGGAAACATACCAAGCTTACTAACTACTGTAGACTCAAAAGTATCGCTTGGACAAGAGAAAGATACCGACGGATGTCTTCATCATCGTCCGGGTCTACGAAGTTGAGGGTGAGAAGCCAAGCTTCCGTTTCTACCTCGACCCGTGGGCCAAGATATTCAATGGAGAATTGGTCCTGACATCGGATCATGGATACTGTGTCGCGCCTTCGAGCGTTAGATGGACTTGAGACACGCGGATAAGAAGCCGAAAAGTGTTTCTGGTTGAATGGTACAAGCACGCGGGGCTGCTAAGTTGTAAGAATAGATGTAGACAATGTAGAAATAACCTTTCTCCCAGTTCACTTCGGCGCTCTTGATCTTCGATGAATGCTCATCAGCTTCTTCGACCTTTGGCCGTCCAAGTGGTTATCGCATGCAGTTGAAGAATGCAAGCGCCACCCCCGGACAAAACGACCCCAATTCAACCCACCGGAGACTTTCCAGCCCCGACTTGCGGAGCGTTCACGATCGAGGGCTTCATCGAGACATGGCCAGCCGGGCGGGGGAGTGAACATGGCAGCTAGGTGCGACCTTAAACGGGACGAGCTTTCGCGTATGAGCAAAGAATATGAATAGTGGAGAGAGTCGGACATTGCTCAGAGTTACCGGAAGAAAAACAAAGAAACGCTTCATCGGTTGATGATATTCGGGCCACAAGAGGATCGTTGCGGGGAGTTGCACGGCACAAACATGGGCACAATAAGACGGGGATCAGAGCTCGTGTCGAGTGGGTTTATTGCCTGCGGGGATCGGCATAGCAGCGCAAGGAAGATTTCCAAGGAACAACCTTTTATGAGTCGAGCAGCGACTAGGAGCAAGAGGTCCGAACGTTGGTACCGAAGCGAACTCCACGTTTTATTTGGTAGCCGAAGGTCGGGGAAGCTTCCAAGTCGTCGAGGAGTTGGCTTGCTGTTATTAATATCGTTCGTGTTTACTCCACGGGCTCGCTGCCGGGTTGCGTGTTGCAACACATGGCAAAGTTGGCGGTCAGGAGAAACGGCTACAGAATGTGCGTGGAGAGCGGCAGAGTGTCTGTGAGCAGCCAGCACTCAGCAGCGCGGTATCGCGGCAGCGCCATCTTTCTTGATGAATGAACCAGCCGAGATGAGTTTGAGTGAGTAAAAGCAAACCCCTCGCCTGATAAGGCAAGTCTAGAAGGTTCAATGTTTCCTTGCCTTTCTAACTAACCTTTCTCTTTCCTTCTCAGTAAAATTAATCAGAAACTCTACAGTATGCATCCCAGTCTCTTCGGCCACAGAGTTACCAGAAGGCGCCTAGGCAACCTGCAGAATAGAGTAATTCATTGTTTCTTTGCTGCAAGGAACATATTGCCAGTGACAAACTCTAATGAAATTGGTCAAATCAGGTGTTTACCGTGGGGCCCTTTCTCTCTTTTCCCTCCTTACCAAAGTCACCAGGACGGCAAAAACGGCCATTGGTCTCTCTGGTTTGGGTTTCCCCGTGTGGTAGGTATTCTGACTGACCCCTGGCCCCTGGTCTGCTGGTCCCGCATGTCACCTCGCACGATGTCATGCCAGCCCGGCACTCAGGTCGTAGAACCGGCCGGCCATCAACTCGCTCTTTTCGGGTGCTTTGTGCTACTACCAAGACGGCGACGCGTCAGGTTTGTCGGGCCTTGACAACTTAAGTCATCTCTGTGCGGATAGCTTGCCCGGCGGCCGATCAGCTAAAGAAAGTGAGAGCGGCAGACACACCGACTGACAGAATCTACGAGGGGGCACCGGGGGCAAAGCAGGACTGATGGGAAGGAAAAGTGCCGACGCCACAGGGCAGATAGATGATGGGCAAGTCGAGGCAGTTCGATACAATCCGATGGTTGTCTCAGCACAGCCAGCCGGCTCAACGCGTTCTTGGTTGGGCTCAAGCCACCTGCCATCCAATCAAAACGCACAGATGCCCGTATTTCGTCCGTCTCGTAGTCGTCTTTCGGCTGTCACACTTTTCATGAGGCTGGACGCTAAGCCAAGGTCGACGGGCAATCGAGAGTCAGGACACGAGCTAGAGAGCTGAAGCGTGAGTTGGTTAGACGGACGGACGGACCGCGAGACAGCGTGGATCAGCTAGATAGCTAGACAGCAAGATAGCTGGATAGTGGGCAACCTCCCGAAAGAATCCAGCTCCTTGCGCGCCAGCCCGTTGCTCGAATGAGCTCGAAAAAGGGATACCTACATCAAACAGCAATTCGCTGACGTTCCATTGGAGCCAGAAGAGTCAATTGGATGTCACCTCAATGACCGGCGCCACAAATCAGTTCACTCGCCCAGCTCGAGAATGATCACGCTGATTCCCCGTCTCTTCTGCCCCTGCCAACCCTTTTCCACCCGGAGCCAACTTGCCATTGACCAAAGAGATCATGGTTGCATGTTCCTGGCCAGAACCCGGTCCGTAGCCTAGGGTCTAGTTGTAGGTCGAATGGGTCCAGGTCCAGGATCCCAAGTCCCAGTGTGTGTTCTTCACAGTAGCTCGACGGCCCCAAGGTTCACACCCCCTTGCTCGCCAGTCAAGGTCGCGTCGCCCCAGCAGAAAAGCGAAAAGCTAACGCCTCCCCAAGCGGAGCTAACGTAACCCTCCACCCTCCACGAGTCCACCCCAATGGATATTGGAGACGCCGCCGTCGCGCGCGCCCGCCGCTGCGCGGTGCGGATATTTGGGATAAGCTTTTTGTGAGCAGAGGGCAGAAAGGGAAAAGCTTCAGAGTCAGGGCCAGGGGTCCCTCTCACTCGCTCGCTCCTGTCTCTGTCTCCCCCGAAGGAACGTGGTGGCTTGCCGGCGCGCGTTGGACTCATATTTATGGCCCATCCCGTCTTCTCGGGTCGACGTTGATTGCCTCTTCTTGATTCCTGTCTTGCTCAACTTCACGTCCACTAATCTCAACGTCGTCCACCCCGTCACGTCCTATATCTTACCCGATATATCAACCTAATACCGTGTAATACTCACAACAACCACACAACGTTCACAATGAAGTTCACTCTCGCCCTCGTTGCCGCCGGCCTTGTCGTCGCCCAGGACTTCTCTGGCCAGCCCTCCTGCGCCGTATGTTATAATCCTTTTGCCATCCCTATGACCCCGAACTAACGTTCTTCCCCCTCAGATTCCCTGCCTTACCGATGCCATCCCCAAGGTTGGCTGCGCCCTGACCGACACCGCCTGCCAGTGCACCAAGGAGAAGCAGGAGGCCCTCGTCCCCGTCGCCGCCTCCTGCCTGCTCGCCGCCTGCAACTCTGCCGACCTCGGCAAGGCCCAGTCTGCCGCCGCCGCCGCTTGCGCCGCCTACGCTGCCACCGCTGGCTCTGCTCAGCCCAGCGCTACCTCTGCTGCGGCTTCCGCCTCCGCCTCCGCCTCCGCTGCTGCTTCCTCGGCTGCCGCCTCTGTCTCTGCCTCCGTCTCCGGTGCTGTTTCCTCTGCTCTCGCTTCCGTCAGCGCCAGCGCGAGCGCCGCTCTGTCTTCCGCCTCTGCTTCCGCCTCTGCCATCGTCACCTCTGCCCGTAACGCCACTGCTTCCGTCAGCAGCGCTACTCTCTCTGTCTCCCGCACCGCTTCTACTGCTGTCACTGGCACCGGTACCGGCGCCAGCGCTACTGCCACTTCCACCGGCAACGCTGCACCCCAGGGCGGCGTCGCTGTTGGCGGCCTTGCCCTTGCTGCCATTGCTGGTATCGTTGCTGCTCTGTAAAGGGGTTGACATTTGACGATGGTTATGGGAAGGGACTGCCTCCTGGAAAGGGGTAGCATGTACGCACATACTGTGTAGATGAAACTACGCCATAGGAATTGTATGTGTAGGATGAATTAAAGCAACTGGACGTCTAGACTTAATGAGTATGGACGGAAGAAGTAGGAAGAAAAAGTTTATGATCATGGCCTGTTTTGTTGCTATTGGCGCAACTGTCTAGTAAAGACACAGGATAACATACTTTTTTAATCAAATATACCAAATACACAAGATCAATAATCCGCTTACGCCCTCATGATTACCTCTCCTTCGCTGCCATTGTTTTCGCTCCACGTTCAGTATATACAATCGGCAGGAGACAATCTGGACTTTTTGACGAGGAAGGCTAATCAGATCCGGGATCGGATGGAATCAAGCGCTGCTTCTGTCACAGGCAAAAGTTTCGTTGGTGACGCCATAACTGACGTTATCCTCTGTCTATCTCAAAAAGGTTTTACGCTTGGGGGTTTCCGGTCACTTTGAGCCAGCGGCAGGATGGCAGGCAAAAATTGTGCCCGAGTACGCCAAGGAAGGAAGCTTTGCCAAGTTATACTCGCGCATGGTAGTACTTATGGTCCAAAGATTCGGGCAGTACCAAGTGCGTTGTCAGAAGACCTGTCTGCTTGTAACATACAATTTACTTTAGGATGATACTTCCTTTCCACGACCGGTCTGATCCGACGTCATGTACACTGGTGTTAACGAAAGGCAAATATGAACTTGGTTGTAACTATCCGGGCATTAATTGAGAAAGGTTATTCTAACTAAAACGTTGGCATGGAAACTCGTGCCACTTCCCAAGTGTCATTGCAACGGTAGTTGAAGTAGTCCATCGGGTGGCTCCGGAAGACCGACTGCACTGTGATTCGGCCCCGAGTGGGGCCGGGTTCAAGCCTGCCGATGAAAGATTGTTGTCGCTGCTCGCCGCTATGGGAGTCGGACGGGTTAGTTCGAACAACCTGCACCTATGGTCAAAAGCCGCGCTTTCTCATCAAAGTTTCTCAATGCATCGATATTGATCTGCCTCCTTCCAAGTTGATAAAGGTGTCTCTCAGGTTGAAATTCGTCACCCGAAAGTTGTCAGCCTTGCTCGCTTCCCTTGAGAGGACATGACTAGCAATAGCGCAGTTTCCGTGGCAAGATTTGAATTCGCAACGCAATCTACGGAGCCTCCGTAACGCCAAAAGCCCGAATGTGTCTTGTGATGCGGGGAGCATGGGCTTGGGCCGGGAGTCACTGGCAAGTAGATGACTGTACAGGTGCAACGAGGAGCCACAACACTCGAAGATTGTGTAGTTTGTGATCTTCCACGTCAGCCCGAACACAGGTCTATCAGAGTCTGAATTCAAAAGTCTTCTGCAATTAGCTGTGACCTAGTTTACCGCTATTTGTTATCTTCTCCCCCCCGTGGTATTGCCTTACATGCCCTACGAATCTTCGCTGGCAGGCGCCGACAGACTAGATAACCCATCCCATATTTTCACACTACTCTACTGATTCCATTTCTTCCTACTATGGAGCTTAATGGGTGTCCTGTAGGTCTCAATTGCACACGCGATAAGAGCGAAGAGCAGATTAGCGATGTACCAGGAACTGGAGTAAGTCTGAACGTCGACGAGTATTACATCGGCCTGTAATTTCAGTGGCTATCTTATCCCGCACGCAAGCTGACTTGTTCAACTCCATGTTGAAAGAGGTAAGCCCCATACTCTACATGACACCAAGATAGCTAATCAACTCTGATGATCAGATATTTTGGCTTTGGGTGCTTCTACTCTGGGGTACCTCGAAGCTATTCGTTGCTGCCGCTGTCGAACGATGGTTCACAAAAGTACCGGAGAACAGCCCCCAAAGCACCGGTTGGCAGTTTGGTCAGGTGCTTCCGATGCTCCTCCTGGCGGCACCCCTTATTACCTTGTTCGGCTCATTTATCTCGGAACCAAAATGCAAAGATCATAACAAACACTATGTGGAGTTCACACAAGGTTCTGCGCCTAGCACCGATCGAGCCCAGAGCTCCGAACAGGCCTTCGTGTCGACCATGATGGCAAAACGTACGGCAGCAAACTCTCCTAACGATGCATTGACGAAACAAAACAATAGCGAAAGCAATATGAGTCTATTCTTTGTTATCTCCAGGGATGTGTATTCCGAAACGCAGTGGATGTAGCCTTATTTGACTTCAAGCCTCGTTGTGATAGATGTACATGTATGTTTTCTCTTACGTTATGCGACCTCGACATTCTACTGCATGTCTTCTTATTTCAATGGTATCTATGTAGTATCTGAGTGGCTTTTGCCGTATTGGACGCCAACGTGGTACATGTTCACAGAGGAAGGCGTCTTCTATTTAGCTCTCTTAAGCTATCCATTTGCTGGACATGCCACCATCTTAGCCGGACTAACGGTCCTTGATTGGACAGGTAGGTCTTCTGGAACACTCGGATATTGTTTTTCAAGTGCTATTTTTTGGCTTTTCGCAATTCTGTTATATGGTTTGTACACTTGGATTACCTGTTGGGATGTGATCAATTCAGACCGGAAGACACGATCAGTCATTCTTTCACGATTGTACTATACGGGCTCTATGTACTCGTATCTCTAATTAATAGCCTAAAGAGGCTTATGAAATGAGAAAAAGGGCTCGTATAGACGGGGAGATTTGCTGAAATCATTATTTCTTGAACTCCTCGAACTCCTTGTTATGCCTAGTTGACCATAGATGCATAGAAAAGCCCATCCTTTGGCGGTTGGCGATGACTGAAACGCCTCTGCCAAAAATTGCTCAGCAAAGTCCCTTTGAACATCCACATGCGGGGATGCTCGAAATATATAGATAACCCAGCTTATGAAGGAGGTTACAGAGCTTGGGAAGGATTCGAGAAATGAAGAGTCTCCAATCACCGAGCCCGTGACTACCTGCCCACCGTGAATTATCGACTCTAGCGGTTCCCCGCACAAAACTTGATCGGAATCCTACGTAAATATTCAAAGGAACCTTTGGTAACCTTCTACCTGAGAACCAGCTTGACTTTCAGAGCTTCGGGGGTTAGGCCTCATGGTCCGGGGTAGGCCGGCTGTCCTGGTGGGGCCGAAAGCCGGAGCCGATGCTAACCCCGACGGGTGCCGTCCTTTTCGCGCACCACTGTACTTACCACTTCAAATAGGTAGTTGAGGCGACTTTTCGTGTACAATATGACTTGAAAGTCGGTGTGTATGTTTATGTTTTTGCCTACGTTCGATCGGATTCGAAACCGGGTGGGTGTTGCGCTTGCAGAACGCTATGCAGCTCACGATATGCACAGCGGCACAGGCTGGTAGCGATAGGCCAGCCTGATCTAAATTAGTCCGCCATGACCGCCATCGCGGTGATACAAATTGATCCTCTGGGCAATATCTCAACTCCCTGCCAGAGAATTAATGATCTTAATTCGCTAAATGGAAAGGGAAGCTGACCTCCCTGTCATTTGGGTGCATGACGATCCAAAGGAGCCATTGTCTCAGTCCTGCAGCATCGCCATCAGGATTGCTATGTGATCATCGCACCCTGAGATCAAGCAGACATTGAAATAAAAAGGACAAGTTTCGCCCGTGGTTGTTTCCAGTTTTATGAAGATTAACATAGCATTACTATTGGTCGAAAATAGTGAACCATAGAGAGAGTTGATGATCGTATTTTGAGAATGTCCAGATCTCTATGTCCATCCAAGCTTAACTGCACATCACCTGGCGCCTGGGAGCCTAACAGTGATATAGCTGGTCGGGGGGTAAGCTTTTGGGCCCCTCGCTTAAGCCCTCAATGAATAAGACACTGGACATCACTGAGAACTTTTTCACAGGTCCTTATTGGATTCGTCGGAACAGGATATCTTGTCTTCCTCCTCCTTGTGGTTCACTACTTCGTAGCATACGATCCAGACCTGCCTCCTGTGCAGCAGGTGAGTGATGGCGAGAGACAAAGCCAAGCAACGAGTCTAGAACGGCTACCAGGGAATATCCCAGGGCCTCCCAGCACAAATGTCTACATTTCTAGGGATTGCATCCATTTGAGACCGAATCTGGTCGACGTCAATCTTCTCGCTTTGGTTAGAACATGGGTGGCAAGGCTTCTGATCCTTGCGGGAGCATCACTCCCGCTCGCTAGCGAAAGTCGCTCGAAACGCGTCAGGCATTGTTTCAATATGGTGAGTCGCCGAGTATCCTCTTTGAATCTTGAGAGAAAACAAGAACAGTCATGTAACCTGTTGCGTTCAGTGCATAATCGCCATTTGCGATGTGCAAATGATCACAGGAATGAGCATTCTCATCGGCGGATTCATATGCTTGGACGAACACCTATCGGCTCTCCATTGGCAGATCATCACCTACCTGGCTTGGTTTTCCAGTGTCACCCATCTGTCTGGTCTGACGGTTCTGAGGAGGTATTTCCAGACACGCCCACTGGAAAGGTCATTGCGAATCACCCTTATGCTTACCCTGTTATCCATTCTCATAGTGGCCATGATTCCATCCGGTTTCTTCAACTGGAAATCGCCACGGGCTGACTCTACTGATCCTCAGCCAATTGCAGCTTTAGCCAAATCGCCTGCGGCATGCTTCTTCAACCTGGCTTGTGGAGAACAACTCTATCGAGAGAGTTTCAGGAGGAGTTGCACTGAATTTTGTTACAAATCATACAATGAATCAGAACAACAGTCAAACTGTCTACGAGATTTCCCCTCTTATCTCGATGGCTTCGATTGCCGTCGGTTGGGGAAATCGTCTGCATTGCAAGAAATGGTTATCTCAACAGTCTTACTCCTCTTCGGGTTTGCTTCGAGGGCATTCAAACTGTCAAGTCGTGCTTCTAGCACAATCCATCGGAGGTTCACCTTGCCAGTAAGAAACTACGCGCTTGACTGCTTCACAAAGCTGGAAAATTTGGTCCCAAACCATGAGAGACAGGCCAGTAGAAGACAGTACCTCGATAAAATTCTCTCTGATGCATGGCGGCATTTGGTGGTGAGACCTGTACTTGCGACTCTTCTAGTCGTGTCGGCACATTTCGAGCTTTTCAATTCCATGCTCGGAGAAGTGTATGGCGATGCGCGATAGGGCAATGGCTGCCCAAAGACAGAATCACCATGAGCCGAGCCGTCCTGACGCAACAAATATCGAGGCATCGACTAATCAGAACCGCCGTATCAATGGCCGCAATATTTTATTGGGAGACTATTATATCGAGACTGATTGGATGCCGCCTTGCATGACTTCTAGCTTTATGACGATTTGGACGCATGTCTTCTTCCTCTTTTGGTTTGCTACCGATGCTTTCCTGGTTCCTGGATATTGGACTTATACATCGGAAGGAAAATACATTCTAGAAACAGACGGAAAAGTGGCAGACATTTTAGTCTACCTCTTCCAAATCAAGGGCGGCATGTTTTACTTGATACTTGCTACGTATCCTGTTGCATGTCACTCTGTCATCTTGACGGGGCTCGCAGTTGACGAGTGGTTCGAGACGCCGCATAACACCACGCATCGCATCAGCCGAAGATTGATGTATTGGATCTGGGCACTGGGAATCAACTGCTCCTATGTCATAAGCATTCAGTATGTAGCTGGTGTACCAAGCAAGGGATGGGGCGACGGACTAGCAGCCATTCTCGTGCAAATCAGCTTTGGATTCTACGCACTTTACCATGTTGTGGGCTTTTGCGTTCAAGTGGCAGCGTGTAGGAAGGCGATCAACGCAAGAGGTAGACATCTGAGAAATAACACTAGAATGGAGTAGCAGGTATATATCCCTGTGCAGCTCACGAAGTTACAATTATGTAGTTTCGTCAGTTGTTACGCTCTGAGTACTTGTGTAGATGCTTAGGGCAGTCCACAAAGTACTATCCCTTTTACCTAACAGAGACCAGAATCCTCGCACCATTCGTATGCTTGAAAGATTCGGCATGGCATATCAAGCGCTGAAAGATGAGTCCAAGTAAATTTCTCGAAACAGAGAAGCCATGGTGTATCAAATTGGAAGCCAGGAAGTATCGTATTTGCTAGAGCCCCCAGGCTTTGGTACGTCAATTTCAAACGGTCGATATTTCGGGCATGAATGAGTCCTGCCATCGCTGTTTGTAGGTATTCTTGATCTACGTTGGAGAGAAGAACTTGAGAGGTTGATGCGCAGAGCTTCCGAAGGATTCAAGCACAGAGTTGGAGAGACCCCGCTGCCGAGCCCGCGGTTGCCGCCCACTGCAGTACCCCACCACCGCACCCAAAAAGCACGCCAACACGGGCCATGTGCAACCCAGATCCCGGGCAAGTGCGCTGACGGACGGGGATCAGGACCCCCCAAAAAGGACGTCTTGGCCGGGGCGCCGTCCACTGGGAGGGAAGGCGGTGGCCCACTGGGTGGGAAAATGGTTGAAATCGGCCGGTCCCGCCACGTTGGGCCGGTTGCGGTGCAGCTGTCGCAGTGGTTCTTGTAGGAGCCGGACCACTCAGGCGAGCGGGAGCGTCACATGAAGAAGGAAACTGGCGGGCCTTCCCACCCCCGTGGCCCCCTCTCGAGGCTCGTGGCGACTGCGATAGCTCCCCACCACTGCATCCCGACCACCACCACCTTCCCTAGGGCGATAGTGCAGCTGAAGTTTTTTTTTTCCTTTTCTGCTGGGCTGTTGGTTCTCTACCGACTGGGATGTTGCCGCGATAAAATTCCAACCCTCTCGTCGCATTCTTCCTCCACTTCCTCCTTCCCCTCCCTCTGTTGCGACAGCTCGAAGCAAAGTTTTGCGCCGATACCAAATCGACCACATCACGCGCTGCCTCACCAAAAGGCATCAGCAAACCGCTTCGAACCCCTCCGACGATCATCATATGTTGCGCGCCGCCTCGGCCAACTTCTTCGCATACCACTTCCCGGCGCATCGTCCATGTGCCGTGCTATCGTAAGATAGACAAAACAGCGAGCGACTTGAGTCTTTGCGCTTGCTGCCAGGGGACGAGAAAGACCAGAGCAGTTACTATCACTACAAATCCATACCAATAATCACATATCGCGAGAACGAAGCTCGACTGAGACTTGAGATCGTTTCGCGCAGACGATACATCGTCTGAATACCCTCGTGTGCGCACCAAGGTATGTAGAATAGACCCAGCAAACAAGATGACCTTCAACCACATCAACGTGTGGCAAAGGCAACAGACGACTAACCTCGCCTCAGATCGCTGTATGCCTAGCATCGTATCCCGTCGCTTCGAGTCCATTCTGTCGCTGCGCCTACCCTTCACCAGGATCACAGAAACCAACACCGACCCCGGTCACGCCTACGCACCGTTGCCCACCATGGCCGCCGACGACGACACCACCAAGAACCTCAACACCGCCCCGGTGACGACAACACAGATCACCGCCGGCCACGACGAGTCCGAGCTCGTAGGCCAGGGTCTGCACGACATCGAGGCTCGGAAGGTGCACTGGTGGAGCTACTTCACCACGGTCGATTTCTGGATCGTCCTCATCATCGGCCAGATCCTTGCCCTGTGCATCACTTCGACGAACACCTTCACCTCCTTCCTCGCTAATAACGGAGTCTCGATCCCGGCCTTCCAGACTGTCTTCAACTACATCTTGCTGTTCCTCATCTACTTCCCCGTCACCATCTACAAGTACGGCTTCAAGAAGTGGGGTAAGCTCCTCCTCCGCGACGGCTGGAAGTACTTCATCCTCTCCTTCCTCGATGTCGAAGGCAACTACTTCACCGTCCTGGCCTACCGCTACACCAACATCCTCTCGGCCCAGCTCCTCAACTTCTGGGCCATCGTCGTCGTTATCATCCTCTCGTTCTTCCTCCTTCGCGTCCGCTACAAGGTCTTCCAGATCGTCGGCATCATCGTCGCCATCGGCGGCTGCGGTGTCCTCCTCGCTAGCGACCACATCACCGGCTCCAACGGCGGTCCCGGGATCGACATGGTTAAGGGCGACCTATTCGCCCTCCTCGGCGCGACCCTGTACGGTGTGACCAACGTCGCAGAGGAGTGGTTTGTCAGCCGCCGCCCCGTCTACGAGGTTCTCTCCTTCATGGGCATGTGGGGCATGTGCATCAACGGCGTCCAGGCCGCCATCTTTGACCGCGAGTCCTTCCGCGAGGCCACCTGGAACGGCCCCGCCATCGGCTACCTCCTCGGCTACACCTTTGCGCTCTGCCTCTTCTACAGCCTGGTGCCGCTGCTGCTGCGCATGGCCAGCGCCGCGTTCTACAATATTTCGCTGCTGACGGGCAACTTTTGGGGCATCATCATCGGCGTCAACGTCTTTGGCTACTCCATCCACTGGATGTACCCCATCGCCTTTGTGCTCATCATCCTCGGCCAGGTCGCGTACTTCCTCGCGGGCAGCATGCTGGGTGATTCCAAGAAGCCGTGGCTGGGTGACAACCAGGAGAACGGTGTTGCTGGTCTCGGCACGGCCAAGTTGAAGGCCATCAACGCGGCGCGCAAGAGGCAGATGGCTGCTGCTGAGCCTCCGGCGTATGCCTGAAAGGACCTTGTAAGGTCAAGACTCTATTGAAAATATGTAGTTTTTGGTCGAAGAGGCGGGAGGGGGGTTGATGGAAGATTCATGTTGACTTCTTGATCTGAGTGTTTAGCACAGAAGAGTCGTCATCGTGGCTTGCTTCGCTTGTCAAAGCAAGCCCCCTTTTCTTCCCTCCTGGAAAACTCGCCATCTTTCTCTCTTTAAAATATACACTAAAGTTAATATCAATACACTATTGGATACCAACACTCGTTAGTTCCCGCATAAGCTGCCGCTGCCGCGTCTCTGCCGCGTCATGATTGTGAAAACTAGTCAAACGCTGGGCTCTTGACCAGGGTTTTCCCAAATGATGAGGACTTCTCTTGACGACGATGACTTGTTTGACGTTTCTCTTGGATGGAATCGGAACTTCTGGAAGCACAGGTCTGGGAGACAGAGAGAAAGGGAGAGGAAAAGAGAAGGCCGCACGGCCCCTTCACCACGACGTCAGGTCCGGTCTTACCGTCCTTATCGTCACCGTTTACCGACGGGGCGGATGACACTGGTCGTCCGGTGGCCCTCTCAAATCATTGCGCCTCGCTTGAAGACCCAGCGGTCTGGACTCGGGAATTGTTCTCTTTCTGTGATGCGTTATGCGTGCGTGCGAAGCCGTCGAGATGCGACAAGCATTTGTCTTCGATTTGGAGGCTGGAGGGGGGGCTTCACACTTCCGCGGGCAAAAGAGGAGAAGTACTTTCTCGAACGCGGTATGGAGTTAACGTATCCCACTCCTCGCATCTGCTCGTCTGGATTCTTCTCTCTTCGAGTCCCATAGCCTCCAGATGCTATGTAGCATCACCGTGGGTATTTGACTCGAAGTAAGTGCCATGCTTCATGTCTACTACTACTAAGCTTGGAGACTTGAATAACTCTTGCAGCAATACGATGGCACACTCGGGATGCACAGAAAAGGAGGGGATGGGGAACCTCCCGAGGGCAGTGCGAAACCACGAACCTTCGGCTAACGAAGTATTCGTAGAAAAAAAAGCCCCAGTAGACCAACCAAGACTGCCGACGGGAGCACGCCTCTTTCGGAGTACACGCTTGCGCGACGTCGTTCACGAAGAATCAAGGGTACGTGCGGCGCAGACAGGCGCCGCAGAAATGGAACCTAGCTACGTAGCAACCGTCGTGCGCAGGCGCCGCAGGGTGCAGTTCTGCATTTTGGCGTCGCATTCACGGCACTGCGACAGAGAGAAGAAAAAAGATACCCGCGCACTTCCCGTCCCTCCCCTCCCCTCCGTCTGCGTCCGCGTCCGCGTCCCAGGTCCAGGGCTCGAGAGTTTTTGATTCTGCGAAACTGACCCCTTACCTGGGCCCTGGGACTCCAGGAGCTTCCTTCTCCTACAAAGCCACGGCTGTCTCTTTACCTTATCTACTGTATCGGCAATCTACCTTCGTTTGTCTCTCTTTTGCATTTTCAAGTTTTCAACTATAGTAACTTCAGCAAGGGATTGCGGCATGGAATCACATATTCAGACAACCCCCCCGAGAAAAAAAAAAGCATTCTTCTTCTGCACTAAGAAACTTGCGTTCG